CACTCGCATTTGCTCTGGCTCAGCTATTCTTTTGCTTCCAGGCTTTGGGAAACGGTTTGCTGGATCGTGGAGCTGGGTAGGCAATTGTATTTTCCGTCATCTTAGCCTGCAGCGCCACCATGCGTTCTCACTGAGTCATATTTTCTGGTTTAATTTTGGAGGCAAAATTCTTCTAAATGTACTCAATAAGCTATGCAATATGAAACACTGAGTCCTATTTTCATGTGGGTTTTGTGTGAACAGATGAAGCTCTGTGATGTTGCACAGGGAAGAGTACAAAGCAGACTGTCATTTGTGGTATTGACTGTTTAATGCTATTGAGATTAATGATTAAATAAAATTCAAAGAACACTTAAGCAGAGATGGAATATACACTTAGCAGCAAAATGTTTCTGAAGTAACATGGGAACAGTTTCACAAGTACAACTTTTTTATGATACCTATTATGGATATTATGAGTAGACACTGAAAAGTTGCAGTCACCGGTAGTTCTGAAGAATATTTAACTATTACTTTATTAAAGAGTATATTACTTCCTTTTCTTTATAACACCTAAGCCTAAGAACCGTGAGTTTTTACAACTTTCAAGTTATTGGAAAAATCATTCCCAAATAGGCAAATTTCAAGGTTGTGTCTGCTACACTTTTGGATTCCCCCCACTTTTTAAAAAATTATGAAGAGAATAATCTTTGTTTTGTTATTATTTTCTTAAAACAGTTTTAATAAGATATAATTGACACAATACAATTCACCCGTTTAAAATATACATTTCAATGGCTTTTAATATATTGACGGATGTGCATCCACCATCACAATTTTAGAACATTTTCATCTCAGGAGAAACCCTATATCTTTTAACTATCACGCTTCTCCTTCTCTCATCCCTCTAATTTGTGTGTGTATGGGTATACATGTGTGCGTGGGTGTGTGTGTATAGGTTAACAGAAAAAGACTGAAGAAAGAGAATAAGAAATTCAAGAAATGCAACTACAGGTTAACTCTATTTCCTCTTTAGAGTCATTTCTTTAATAATAAATATGGCATGTAGAGAAGGTATAGGAATATAAATCAGGTTAATTCACTTATCTTAAAAACTATTTGTGGATCTGTCCCAGCATATTTAGAGCTTCCATAAGAACTTTGGATTTACTTGTGTAGAGGAGTGTGGTCATTGGTGTAGAAACAAACTATAAACTAAAACTTAAACAGTTCCACATAAGAGTTCATGAAGTTCATGAAGTAGGAATAGGAATAACAAATTTCACTTCCTTTGTTAGAAAAACAATGCTATCAATTAATGCCTGACAATATAGCATATTGGTTAGACTTAGATTATATTTCAAATTTTCACCTTTTTATTTCAGAATTATTAGCAAGTTACTGAACCATTTTTTGTTGGGGGATGGGGTCTCACTCCGTCACCCAGCCTGGAGTGCAGTGGTGTAATGTTGGCTCACTGCGGCTTCCACCTCCTGGGCTCAAGGGATGCTCTCCCTTCAGACTCCTGAGTAGCTGGGACTACACGTTCACGGACCACACCTGGCTAATTTTTGTATTTTTGTTAGAGTTGGGGTTTTGCTCTGTTGCCCAGGCTGGTCTCAAACTCCTGAACTCCAAGGGATCAGCTTGCCTCAGCCTCCCAAAGTGTCGTGATTACAGGCGTGAACCACTGCTCCCAGCCAAGTTACCTTCCTAAGCCTCAGTTTTCTCATATGTAAAGAAGGGGATAATGTGCCAACTCCCTTAGTATATGGGAAAACACTTAAAAGACAATAAATGTAAAACACTCTGTACACAACTTTTAACTAAATTTTAACTAGATTAGAAAAAAAAATAAAGCCTTAAAAAGATCAGATTTAAAAAAAGGTTAAAATGATCAGATTAATTTCTACACTTCAGAGCTGTGCATTTTACCATATATATTTTAATTAAAATTGCACTGTTAAAGAATTATGATTAGAGTCCACTGGATATACTAATGAAGACAAAATGAGATACAATTTTTAAAAACAGTGCAAACAAGAAAAATACTATGGGCAAATTTGGTGTAATTTAAAATTTATACTATGTTGACAGAAAACCGTTACTTTGAATTGATTATAAAAATGAAAATACAGAAGGTGAAAAACAATTACTTTAACTGAAGGCTGAAACCAAAGTCATTCCTAAAGTTAGAGTTTTCTTCCATTTCCGGCCCCAAAGAATGACCCTGAATATTGTGTAATACTGGCTTCCGGAACTTGAATTCATTTGTCCCGGAACCTCCTGCCAGACACACCTCGTACTGGTAGCTCTGGGACAGGGTCCCGGTGCCGCTCACGTCCACCAGATGCCCTGGAAAGGGGCCCTCCGACAGCGAGCAGCGACCCACCGAGGCCGCCCTGCTCCTCCTGCACAGCCGCACCGCCACGAACAGGAGCACCGAGAACAGGAAGAGCGACGACACCGAGGCCAACGCCACCACCAGGTA